GAAGAACACAAACAGCTGCAAACAAAAACTGGAAAAAAAAAAAAAATTTCCTTTTTTTTGTTTGCGCCGTTTTATTTTTTTATTTTTTTAAATTCCTAAAACGCATGTTTTTTACAAACAAAAAATATGCGGTTGTAGGGCGTAAAATTCCCTACAGCCCCCTTTTTTTTTTTTTTTTTTACCAATTAGTTTTTTCAGGAAAAATCTGGTAAAATCGGGTCCGCGGCGCGGACCAGGTCGGCCGCGGCCGCGGACCCGTCTGCGTCCGCCATCCGAGATCGGACCCGCGGACGCGCCCGCGGGTGTTTCATAGGCTCCGCTTACGAAATGGGCAAGACAAGCAGTCTGCGAGCGATTAAAGAAGTTGCGGGGGGCATTATTGCTTCGTACCCAAAAGTAGTTGGTTTTGGGGGGTATCATGAGCGTCACGAAAGAATGCAGAAGTTCAACGACCTCGGTTTCCCTAATTGTTGGGGGTGCATTGATTGCACTCACGTTTACATGGACAAGCCCCGGTCCCGGGATGGAGACGAGTATTGTTCGGGGAGGAACAATCGACTTCGTTCTTGCACAATTGGTTGTCGACACGGACCTTAAGGTCCTCGACTTCTACTTTGGTTTCCCGGAAACTGTTGGTGATGCACGTGCATTGAAAAACACGTCCTTGTATAGACGAGCGTTGCGGGGCCAGTTGTTCTTGGATGATCCTAATGATCCGTACCAGGCCGTCGATCCCCGGGGTCCGTGGTGGGTACTTGCTTGGCGATTGCGGGTACCCCAATCTGCCATAGCTGGTCATTCCTTATGCACACCAACCCCCCGTAACGAAAGCCATGCATGCGTTCGATGCACTCCATAAGATTGTCTGATCCGTCGTTGAGCGGTTTTTTGGAGTGTTCAAGATGCGTTTTCAGTTTTTTTACCGCTCGCGCACGTCAGTGATATCAAAAGGGAGGGGTTGGAATTCCACGCGTGTTGTATTATCCATAACCTGCTACAGGAATTGGGTGATGTTCCCAAGGACGATGGTTGTGTGTCTGAAGTCTCCTCGCCACCATTGATGCCAGCCAGGGAAGGCGAAGAAGGGGGTGGTTTTCCGCTTCAATTCATGTTTGGTCGACAGCCTGGCCAAGTTATGAGGGATACCCTATGTCGTGAGGTTATCCGTTTGTACCATTCGCGCAGGGATGATTATCGATTATCCCTGTGTTGTAGAAAGCAAAGACTACAGAGAAAACAAGCCCCACCAATAGAATCGGACCACTACAAGCCCGTTTCTATTTCGTGGGGACTGTTTTCACTACACAGACAGTTTTGTTGTCCGCTATAAGTTGCTTGTGTGTGTGTGCGGTGCCACTTTTTTTTTTTTTTTTTTTTTTTAAACACCCCCACCGGTGATAGTGGTGCTGATAAGAGCGGACACCACTACCTCCCGGGGAGAGGCTCCATCTATTGGTGGGGAGCATCACCTGCTGAAAAACGGGTCCAGCATTCCATGTACAGAATGTAATCAGAGAATAACAGGAAAAAAACATGTGGGGGAATCCTGCCAGCATTGATTGCCCTGAAATACAAGGGATTGACTGGGCAGAACTTAGAAGATGAGACTTTGAAAAATAAGTGGAAGAAGGATTGGAAAAAGTTGGGAACAAGCCTGCTCTGACTGTAACATCAAACCAGCTGTTCTTAATCTACAGACGTCATGGGCCAAGCGTCTCCCCGCCCATTTTTGTTGGGAACAGCTACCCTTATGCAAGAAGTACCAATATGCTGTGACTGGATGGCGCCTGCCAGCGTTGATTGCTCCGGAACCCAGCTGGTTCTCTTCTCCTTCAACCCTTTTTTCTGCTCAAGATATCGGGAGGAGCCATTGGGGGCCACCAGTGGGGCCTTCTTCCATCACCCTCGAGCATGAAAAGCAAAGTAAAAGCAGAACAGATTATGAAGGGTTGTGTCATAGACGCATTTCCAAGGACTATGGGTGGGGGGGAAATGGGTCCGGGAACTCTTTTGCGGACCTCATGGGAACACTCGAATCTATCAGCAGCCATTCTTTGAATCTCAGGCGGTAGTCCCTAGGGACTTCTTCTCTCTGGCTGCCCTCCTTTTCTTTCTGACCTTCCCAATCACCCCACCAGCACACTTCCACTACTCATCCCTCCCAGTCTCCACCCAACCATTCTCTAGAGAACTGTAATAGTTGTTCCCTAACGTCATTGGTGTTGTGAAAGTTGTCGAGCGATTGCGTAGTTGACTTCCACCTATGCGAGAGCTCCAGTTGGAAGTGCATTCTGAATTGTTCAACTCTCTCTTCCCCTTCTACCCATACCTGATTCAAAGTTAGGGCACAACATTGCCACCACAACACCCACAAGATCGTTCTTTGGGATAAATGAAACATGTTAGACACGAAGGTGCTGTCCTGGAAGGGTGGGTAGTATCCCATCAGGATGGCCCGCCAATCCCATGGCCATGGATGCCCCGGGACCATTTGCCGCCACACCCTATCCCACCACCTCCAGGTCAAAATTGTTGTTGGACACTGCAGAAAAATGTGTTCAATTGTTTATGTTTTTTTCCTAGCCGGAAAGCCCAACAGGCGGCGGGAGCACCAAGGGAGCGCACGGCCTTGTTGTTCCAGCCGAGAGTGATCAATAAGCCAGTCATTCGTAAGTAAGAATCAGTGCAAGATCTGCCACTGCAATGAGGTGATTTTCGCAGGTCTGCACTTGGAATCACGGAACCATCGTATCGGTGTGAGGAGGTGTCTCTCTACATTGAGATGCTTTTGCCATCTATCAATCACCGTGTCCTTTAGGCATCGCTTCACTCTGAGCATTCTATACGTCGCTTTCACCAAGAGCCTGACAATGTTTTAGGCTTAGCCTGTCACGGGTTTTGCCGTGAGTTGGGTTTCCAAACCCATTCCAACAGATCTATTGGGAGATCTTCTAAGGATATCTCAGGTAAGAAGGTCCGCCGGCTGTCTCCTTCCCCGACTACCTGGTTCTGTGTAGTTCCTCCTTCGAAGTCCATTGAAAAGGGTCCCGACACCCTACCAGTCCCCCGCTTCCTGTTATGTTGTACCACTCAATCAATGCCTCATCCGACTGTACTAGATGAACCAGGCCTACCTTGTCTAACTTCTCCTCTGTGGACACCTTCTCTCCTTCTTTCAGCACCGGCCCTTTGTGAAGAATGGACCACCATCCTATCGGGAAGGTCTCTGTTATTTCTTCCAAAGTCGCCCCAAGATTGTGGCAGTATCTCAATTTTTCCCTGAATTTCTTCGGGCCCTTCTAATCCTTCTTCTCCCTGTCCCAAAGGTCTTCCACACAGATCACCCCATTCTTCACCCAGCCTTTCCATGGGACATTGGAACTGCAGAAAATTTGACCCCATTCGTTAGTAATCCAATGGTTACCAAAGAGAGGTTGTCTTGCCACCTCCTCCCATCTGTCTGGGGGTGGGCGATTCGGGGGAGGAGCCTCCTCAAGATTTTTAACATGCGGGGTCAGAAGTCATCCCTCCGCTCCTCCCCTCCCCGGAGCCGTCGTGACACTCTCCAGTAACGAT